ACCTGGTGACCTTCAATATCAGAGAAATGTCTCTGGACTTTAAATCTCTATCTTCAAAAACTAATTTTCTGTCACTTGGATACAAATGAAGGCAGGCAGGCAGTCATCAAGGAAAACACATTTATTATGTTGTCTAATGTGCTGTTTGAGCCAAACTGTCACAGTTTCTTGTTTCATTTGCTGCTTTGTTATCTTGACTGAGTGGTAAAAACAGCATGCAGAATAGTGGGCACAAATGAAGGTTTAAATTAGACAAAATGCTTGTCTGCTTTTGTAATTCAAGCTACTGGTTCTGTCTATTGTGACTGCTGAAAGCTGGACCGAGTTACAGCTCCAAGTCTCCTCAAAGTGTCTTTTGACTAGTTGTTGTACTCAACAGCAGAACATCAAGAGACAATCGCTGTTGAAGTAATTTGTTGACAATTATTGTTTCCCAACATCTGCCTGTGAGTCATGACTATTGTGTTGTGGGGCTTTGCGTAGCTGTGTGGGTGATACTGTATATTGTGTTTTGGTGGGTGTGTGAATGAGACAAAGATGATGATAGAGAGTAGGTGTTTGTTGTTCTTATGCAATTTTTCTCTCTGTTTATGTGTGTGTCTTACCAGTCGTCAGTGCACAGGGTCTCCAGGCCAAGGACCGGACAGGCTCCAGTGACCCGTATGTCACCATCCAAGTTGGCAAAACCAAGAAGAGAACAAAGACCATCTATGGCAACCTGAACCCAGTCTGGGAGGAAAAGTTTAGCTTGTAAGTTCAGCTTGTTAGTTTCTACCAGCTGGAGCTCTCAGAGGTCTGGCAGAAAACACAGTGTCACAGTCACCCTGGATTGTACATCCTTTATTTAACCTGTTATCCCATTACACCAAGCCAAACCATTCGTCTCAGTTACTGCAACACTCACAAATTTCTCTAAACAGCATCCCACCTACCTGTCCCCTGTCTCCACAGCGAGTGCCACAACTCGTCAGATCGCATCAAGCTGCGTGTCTGGGACGAAGATGATGACATCAAGTCGCGAGTGAAGCAGCGTCTGAAGAGGGAGTCTGATGATTTCCTGGGTCAGAGCATCATCGAGGTCCGAACACTGAGCGGAGAAATGGATGTGTGGTACAACCTAGGTATGTAGTCACTCAGAAACATGGGAATATGGGAAGTGCGGTGTGTTTGTGTGTGTGTGGGGGGGTGGGTGTATAATGTTGTTTGTCAGGTAGGTGGGAGCATACTGGTTATTACTGTTTGTGTGAATAGTGTTTCTCACTGTGGTGGTGCTCATTAGTGGAGCAGTTGGAGCACTCACTGTTGTCATCTTCGATTCAAAGTTCAACTTAAGTTCAACTCTGAGTGATGTATCATTTCAGAGTCATTGTGTGTGTGTGTATGTGTGTGTGTCTCCACTTACAGAGAAAAGAACAGACAAGTCGGCGGTGTCTGGTGCCATCCGTCTCCAGATCAGTGTGGAGATTGAGGGAGAGGAAAAAGTGGCACCCTACCATGTCCAGTACACGTGCCTTCATGAGGTAACACACACACAAACGTACACTTGTCTTGGGCAAACTGACAGCAGGCGTTCAGTAATAAAGTAGGAAATCAGGGAGTGTCTGGCTTCTGGCTGTGCTTGTACAGTAGCTATCACAGCACAGATATATGGACACTGGTATTTTATTTGAGACCAAGATCAGAGAGGCAGCACATTTATTGTCATTATCGACTCACAAATGAGATACTTTAATAAGTGATTGATTGATTAGACCAATATGTTAATGTGTACAATGTCAGGAAATGATATAAAGTGTCTGTCACTTTTCCTAACCCAAAAATAACATCTTTAAATGTCCTGTTTTGTCCAACTAACAGTCCCAACCTCCAAAATATTCAATTTACAATTATTAAAACAGAGAAAAGCAGAAAATCCTCACATTTGAAAACTGAAGATCAGTGAACGATTGGCTTTTTTAAATGGCTAACAATTTGTTACCTGTTTCATTTTCTGCAGATAAAGTTCATTGTTCAGTTAATTAAATAATTTTTCATCATTTTTTGATCAAATGAAGAACAAAACAGCAAATAAATATATATTTCTTTTTCTAATGCAATGATGATTCTTAAAGATTTTCTGAGGACCTGGAGAACGCAGAATCAGATTTCTGATGAAAAACTTTCACTTTTGACAAATGTGAGGCACCGAATGCAAACAAACAAATCCTTTAAATTGTTTATTGTGCAAGAAATTTCTAAATATGACAAACCTGTGATCAGAAAGAAAAAAAGTAATTTTAACACCCAGGAGAGAGCTGCCTCACTGAGTAGCTGACTGGGGGTTACTGCTGAGTTTCTGTAAATGACTCATATAAACTCTACTTCTTTGGGTAGCGCTGACATTCATTTGTTCAAACTCTTGTCTGTGTAGAATATGTTTCACTACTTGACGGATGTGGAAGGTGGAGGCATGGTGAAGATCCCAGCAGCTCAGGGAGACGACGCATGGAAGGTTTACTTTGATGAAGTGCAACAGGAAATCATGGATGAGTTTGCAATGCGCTACGGCATCGAGTCTATATACCAGGCCATGACGTGAGTCAGCTGTTGTTATCAGTGAATGAATGTTTACTGTGTGTAAATGTGTATATGTGTTTATGCAAGTTTCATGAGCCGGCTCATCCGACAGGCTTCAGCACCAGGTAACTGTGTGCATGTGTGACAACTCCAATCAGGAAATGTTTCAAATTAGTGTGTGTACATTATTCGTAGGCCTGTGTGTGTGTGTCTGTGTGTATTGATGTGATGATGGGTGGGCAGGGTTGTCATGAACTATAAACAGCATGCAAATTAGTTTAACTCATCTAATGAGGAAAGATGACCCGTCACCTTAGAGATTTCCCAGCTGTTTAACTGGAATATTGTAGACAGGTGGAGAGAAAGACAACATGCACACACATGCACACCAGTACTAGTTTAATTACATTAATAATGTTAATGTAATTTGACTTGAAAAGACAGAGGTCTATGAGTTTGTTTTGTTGTGTTTGAAGGAGGAAAGAGCACAGTCACATAAAATAATCATACTGAGAAGCATTAAGTTGTAAACAAAAACAGCCCAGACTTTGTCCCAGTGGAAATGGGGATATGAGCAAATCAATAACACAGCCAAATGAAAATGGTGATTGAAATACACAGGCGCACTGCGTAGAAGTCTGTGGAAGACTAACTTCTCACTGAAAGCTCAAGAAAAGAAAGGAGACATGCTGACTTTTAGTTTCTTGAATGGATCACACTTAGAACATTTACAGTAAGTGCCTACATGTCCCTTAATGCAACTTGATTGCCTCACACCCCCAGTTCATACCTCAGGGTTTGTATCGTGTAACCCAAGCTGAGATAACATTATGACCACCTGCCCAGTACTGTGTACACAGGAGTCAGTGTGGCAGCTGGTCGGCACTCATGTTGCTCTGCAGCTCACTGTGCATCTTCTGGGAATCTGTTTGCTTCCACAGTTCTACTGTCAGGAAGAGCACAGATGTGTATCACAGATATCAATTCAACAGCCTCACCGTCCATCCATCCATCCATCCATCCATCCATCCATCCATCCATCCATCCATTCTCCTCCGCTTATCCGGAACCGGGTTGCGGGGGCAGCAGTCTAAGCAAAGATGCCCAGACTTCCCTCTCTCCAGACACTTCCTCCAG